TAGAATTTCACATCTATAATATATGATAATCTATTATAATTCAATTATTTTAATAACATCTTACTTTCCGTTTTTCAATATGCATTTAATTTATTTAATCATTTACTTACCATGATTGTAAATTTGAATGTACAAATTCATTTCATCTTCGTGGTTTCATTGATATATGAATACCCTATTATTAATTCTCAATTAATTAACATTCACATTCATTTAATTAATATTTATCTTCATGTATGCATTTTAGTGTTATTAATTATAATTATAAGTTAATTAAAATTTCACATTCAAGAATGCATTTCATTATTCACGTTAAATATGCTAATTAATATCCATTTTTATTTAATTTAAAATTAAATAAACGATTTAACATTTATTATCACGTAGATATTCTTTGGTATTAATTTTAAATTAATTAACATTCATGCATATTCAAATATTACTTTTACAGTATTTATAAAGTATTTTCATAACAACGTGCAATGCATGTTCAACGTTGACTAGTTTGATCTAAATATAACTCGTTAAATTATAAGATGATAAATAATAAAATTTGTATACACCTTACATAATATAATAATGCTTATGATTCAAATAAATGATGTTTCAAAAATATGACTCAATCATAATTTATTTCTTCTTGAAATTTATCTTACGTTGTATCTCATATATAACTTTTTGGTAAGAAGTTCTGTTATGATTTTCCCTGCACAAAAAATTATGGTAAATATGTTGTGTTACTATTTATTTTGTTTATTTAAATAGAGTTTATGCTTGGCTAAAAATTCTTAAAATGGAATAATGTAGTGCATTAAACATTTTGCGATCAACTTTTGAGAAATAAATAAATAAATAATAAAGTAGATTCATGAATTTTACTAGGTTAAACGAAAACATGGAATTGTTAAACTTATGCACCACAATTCATCGAATTTTGTTAAAATGTGCTATACATAGCAGGAGTAGAAATTGTTGTCGTTGAGAAGTTGTAGCCTTCCAAATAGGAACTAACCAATCCATGAATATACCATGAAGTTACAAAGGTACAATATTTAAGAAAATAAGGAATATATTGATAAATTAATAAATTAATTTAGAAACTATTTAATATTTTCTAGATTAATAGATTTTTGTTGGTCCCAAAACTATTAATATATAGAGATTTAACTCTAATTGATCGCAACCATTACTGGTTAAAAAAATAGGGCTAATTAGCACAAAACGTCCATACATTTGGAGGATTTTGTGGATAATGTCCTTACCTTTCGTTTTTTGGCGAAGAACATCCCTACCTTTACCATCTTTTGCGCAGAACGTCATTCTGTCAATTCCCCGTTAAAATGTTCAGTTAAATCAAATAAAATGGATCTTTTCTTTTTAAAATGTAGGGGTAAGATCGTCCATCCAACATTTTCTTCACTGTGTAATCTCTCTCACCTCTTTCTTCTTCAAATGTTCAAGAAAAAGTAGAGTAACATGAAAAAAAAAAAAAACTTGAACAATATTATTTTATTCAATAAATTAGGGAAAATGACGTGAGAATGACTGCATTTCTGGTAGAAAATATTCATGACTGCTGTAATACTGATTGTTCAAAACATTTTGGAATGCTATATGAAAAGAATGAATATGTGGTTAATAAAAATGAGATGTTCATCCTCATTTTGTGCTTACGAAGGGTGTAAATAAGAGGTAAAGTGAGAAGGCCAATCAAAGTATGATTTTGTAAATGGACAATACATGTGATGGAGTGGAGAAGATGATGAAATATGAACGTGTTTTCTCCCCCATTTTAGCATAAAATTGAATTGGTGATAACAATCCCTACCTTGATATTGTCTTTGTGAAAAACATCCCTACCCTTACAATGTCCCTACACAAAACATCCCTACCTTTACATTCTATTTGAGCAAAACATCCCTACCTTTGTTAAAAATTGTGCAAATCGTCCCTACGTATTTTGAGCCAAACAACCTGTCTAAACTGCAGCCAAATACAATTCTGTTTATCCCTGCAATTGAATGTCTGTAACACCTAGTTCGAACACAGTAAAACCAATACTCAACATCCAAGTTCAATAACAAAATGCAGTAAAATCAGCACTCAACAACCAAGCTCAATAACCAAACTAAGTAAAATGAGTACTTGACAATAATTAAAGAGTGCTCATTTCTGGATATCCAGTTTGGAGAAGAGAAAATGTCACATAATCAAAAAGTGCCTATCTCTGTCCAGCTGTTCAAAATTATACACCTCTTATTTACACCCTTCGTAAGCACAAAATGAGGATGGACATCTCATTTTTATTAACCACATATTCATTCTCTTCATATAGCATTCCAAAATATTTTGAACAACCAGTATTACAGCAGTCATGAATATTTTCTACCAGAAATTCAGTAATTCTCACGTCATTTTCCCTAATTTATTGAATGAAATAATATTGTTCAAGTTTTTTTTTCCATGTTACTCTACTTTTTCTTGAACAATTGAAGAAGAAAGAGGTGGGAGAGATTACACAGTGAAGAAAATGTTGAATGGACGATCTTATCCCCTGCATTTTAAAAAGAAAAGATCCATTTTATTTGATTTAACGGAACATTTTAACGGGGAATTGACAGAAGGACGTTCTACGCAAAAAATGGTAAAGGTAGGGACATTCTCCGCCAAAAAACGAAAGGTAGGAACGTTATCCACAAAAACCTCCAAAGGTAATGACGTTTTGTGCTAATTAGCCAAAAAATAGTGTTCTTTATCAAGTGATAGTAACTCTTTGATTAATTATTGAATAAATTCACAGTCACCTAGATCAAAAATGATCGCTTTGAATTGTAATCACATAAAAGAAACCTTTACTTTTAGAAAGAAGAAATGATACGTATAAGAAAATTATAGGAATTATTCAATAAAGTCTTTATTTTTAACTCTAAATTATGATATTGGAAGTATTTGAAAATTTTCACTTGCAATCACAATTTTCTTGCTCTGTGAATATTTTGGTTCACTAAAAAGTGAAATTAATTGTTCCGATGGTCACTGAAATTAGGTCATGTTTTCGATTACTCACTGAAATTTAAAATGTCGAGTTTTGAACACTAAACTTTGAAAAATGTCGAGTTTATAGTAAGTAGTGTAGAACATTTTTCAAAATCCAGTGGCTAAAATTTGACATTTAAAACTTCAGTGAGAAATTGAAAACATTGACCTTACTTTAGTGACCAAAACTAGACAATTTAAAATTTAATAACCAATCAAAGACATGAACTTAAGTTCAGTGACCATTGAAACAATTAATTCCTAAAAAGTGCAATGTAATCTCCTTGGTCTTACTTTCATAACTATTTTACCAAATCTCTACTAGAAATCATGAAGATTTATGATGTCAAAAGGTAATTCGAGCATTTTTAGCATTACTTTTAAAAAATCAAAAAGTTATTTTTTGATCATGATTGAATATTTTCGAAAAGTGTTTAATCTTATTAAAAGAGTTATTCAGGTAAACTCCTATTTGATGGTCATTATTTGAAAAAACAATATTTTGAATGGTAATTTTTAGAAGAATGTATGTTTAAAAATACGAAAAAAAATTGAATTTACGTGTAGAATATTTAATTTATGAATGTATAATTGAAAATAAATATGTAGAAAATTGAATTTTCAAATAATGATTGTTAAGCACGGACTAAATTGGCCCAACATATTTTTCTCAAAAACTCTTTCCTTAAAAGCAAAAACAATAGTTATCCCAAACAAAGCCTCTATTTGTCCACGAAGTTCAAAGGGGTAATTCAATAAATATCTCATAAATGTTTATGTAATAGTGACAGGAAAAAATAAGTGACAAAATGATCTAGCATGATGTGGTTGTTTCTTTGGCTAAGTTTACAGTTTCAAGACTAGAATCAATCTACTATCCAAGCCCGAGGAAATCCCCCCAGTGGTCATTGAACTTTGTAGAAAATCTCTTAGGAGGTCATCGAATTTCAATACATCCCTGAATGGTCACTGAACTTTTTCGAAGTCCCCTAAGAGATCATCGAACTTCAAAATGTTAATGAATGATCACTGAACTTTGCAAAAAAATCCCTGAAAGGTCACTAAACTAGTTATATATGGGGTCCCAATTTGCAATATTAAGTGACCTCTCTGGGGAACTTCGACAAAGTTCAATAACCATATAAGGACGTTTTGAAGTCCGATGACCACTTGGGGAACTTCAACAAAGTTCAATAACCATTCAGGGACGTATTAAAGTTCGATAACCCCCTAAGAGATTTTCTATAAAGTTCAATGACCACTAGGGGGATTTCCTCATCCAAGCCTACTCGTAACATTGTATTAGTTTTCAAACATTAAGTCCTTGTTTGAATAACATTATATTCCTAAAAATGCATTTTTAAATAGTGTATTAATAGAAAATGCGTGGTTAAAAAAATGGATTTACATTTAACATTATTTTATTGAAGAATGTGTGATTGAAATGATATCAAATCACTGTTTAAGAATATATTTTCTTGCCTAAATATGAAAAATATTTCTTCGGAAAAGATATGTGAAAGTTGAAGACAACCAATAGAAAATTCAGTTACATGACATTGTGATTTTCGAGTACTTTTTTATCTAAAATTTATAACACGGACTACTATTTGGCCCCCCTCTCTTTTATATTTTCAACCACAAAATCTTTCATAAAATAATAATACACGTAAGTCAAAAAAATTTCCATCTTTTCAACCACACATTCTTCAAAAAAATCACTATTCCAAACATTAAAATTTGAAAATAATAATAATAATAATAATAATAAATAAAGGGAGCCAAACAGGGCGTACTTCAACAAAAATACTAAGCAAAATGTTCAACCCACAATTTATTGCTAGTTCAACCATGTCAATTTATGAAAATATACATAATCTCAACAAATATCTATATAGATTTATAATAGAAAACTAAATAAGACAAGGAAAGATGTGAAACAGTTAAATCTAAAACTCAAGCCATCTGCTAACTTAAATAAACTGTATATTTCCTAAAGAGGATCGATGATTTGAAAAAATACAGAACAATTTGACCTGAGTAACTATAATAGTTTTCAAAATGATAGTTCAGAAAACAGAAGCTAAGCTATTAAATTGTTTGCAGCATAGTACAAGAAGCCAGCAGCTTCTGTCTAAGGCTACGTCAAATTGAACTACACGATGAATCCCTAAAGGTGCTTCAGCCCCACAAGTGACTTCTACCACTAATCATTTATTGGAAAGCCAGAGTTGAGTTTAGAAGATGGGTTGTTCATTTACCAGACCTTCTCAAAATGTTGAGTGCATTCATCCGTTGCATCTCTTTTCCTGCAAGCCAAAAGGAAAAAAAGTACTAAGAATGCAGTGGTATTCTTCTATCCCATTAAATCGAGACAGTTATGTGCATTTTTATGATATTCACAGCATATACTGAAAACCGTATTGACTAAAATATAATTCAAAAGATCAGACGAATTTTAACCCTGTCAATGCTTGCATAATTTCAAATTGAGCCATACCTGTTTAGTTCATGATTTAATCTCATCATCAGGCATGTTAACCTATGTAAATGGTGATTTGGTAAAACTTGCAGTCACTGGCCAAAGATCAGCATGTCTAGAACTGGATGACCTAGTTTAACCTTCATGATCGAATGGTATGTAGATGACAAATATAAATCCAAAAAAAACCATCCATGAACGGTGTGGAAGTACAATGTCCAACTCTGGAGGCAGGAGAAAACTAACATGAACCTAGAGTTCACAAAGGCTTATCCACTTATGCTGTGTTATGCTTTGGCAGAATACTTGGATACTTGAATCTTTGCTCGCACCCTCTAGATGGGGAGTTATAGAGGGGGTTGTTTGCTATCAAACTTTTGTCCTTCCTGTTTTCTAGCTCAAGTATTTTCTTATAGAATCCAGTTTTCTCAGTAATAGTTATGAAGTGATTTAGTGGAGACGTGCTCTGATGGTCATCACTTGGAATATTTTTGACACTGCATTTCCATAATTTTCGTTGACCCCTTTCTCTCTGTGTAGTGTTTGTGGATAGGATGTTCTTACTATATCATTTGACCGCAGAGGCAGCTGGTTCATTCATGGTCATGCCAAAATAACATCCTATGTGCTGTAAAGAATTCCTTTCTACTTCCAATCTTCTATATTTGTGATAGTTTCAACGTCCAGTACTATTACACCTATTCCTAATCCTAAATGGAATGGAAAGACGTAAGGATCCCTATGCAAACACAGTAACTATTTCTGGTTGTTTTACTATCTTTCAAACAGTAGATTTGTCAACCATTTTGCATGAGCTAGTGCCATCATTGCTGCATGTATCAGAAGATCTAAAAAAAATTTAGAATCTTAGCAACTACTACAGATCGTGTTAATTTTGGTCTACCCTCCCCAATATATTTCCCTTTACTTTTATAGAATTCTTTAGGTCATGCAAAAAATGTCCCAACTACCTAAGTCGTATCCCCAGTTGGATCAACGTCCACTTGATGGCGTATATTATTATTTCTTATCTCATCCATTTTAATATGATCACATGTCTATCCATCTTAACATCTTCATCTCAGCTACGTTCATCTTAAGAGGATGTTGTCCTCTGACAATCCAATATTTAGTACTGTAAAGCATACCAGACAATAGAACTAACACCAAGGATCTTTCTATCATACAGAATTTCACTCTTACCCCATCTATTAAATCCTATATAATTCCTTGCTCCTTGTTAATAATCAGGTCTAGATACGTAAAACAATTGGTTTATGGGACAACATTATCCTCTATGTCAACTTCACTATTAGCCTTATTCCTACTATAACAGTGATATTGCTATATTGTGTTTTCATTCTACTCAATTTGTTTATTTAGATTCCAATGAACACCAAAACTCTAGCCCATAACTTAACCCCTTTTTAGTCTCATCAAATAAATCCATATTATCAACAAATAACATTCATCAAGAGACCACATCTTGAATATGAAACAAGCTAAGTCTTATCATTTAGAGTTGACTACACATATCCAATATCGCCATTCAGCTCAACCCAAACTCATAATCTCTTTCAATGGTACATTATCATATCATTGCGATAAGATAGTCATCCATATACCAAAAAATTAATTTTGGCATGGATCTTCTAAATTTTCCTTAATTGAATCATAGACATACTGAACAACAATCAAAAATCAGAAAGCCCAAAAATGGAGCAATGAAATTGGAGGTTTGAGGTCTCTTTGAAAGAGATAAATTTGTGTAGCAAGCTCCGAGGACTGTAACTCACTCAGCCTACTCACCCTAGAGGTCTATGCTGAGTCAATGTAAGTCATGAACAATGACTAAACAAGGAAACTGGCGTGCAAAAGAAAGAATGAATCCACAAACTTTTCCAAGCTACTGGAACTTCACAGAAAACCTCGGCAGTGATGCAGTTGGCAAAGAAAAAAGCTCTTGCAAAGACCGATTAAGTTAGGATATTCAGAATTGAAAAGATATTTTTACTAGAGTGACAATTTGGTGAACGAATTTGATGTGAAGCAATATGTGATGCAGAATTGAGTGCATCCATTCTTAAAGACACGATGACTCAGAACAGCAAGTAACTTCTCAAAGCTAAATGTTGCCAGTTGATATGATTGTCACATGCTAGCTTCTGGCCAATAAATTTTGTTTGCAATCTTGGGTACAGAGCCGATTGTGCCAAGCAGGCATTACATTTAGGAGATCAAGTGTGCAAAGTTCCAAAATGCTAATTTTTAAGGAGGAAAAGTACCAAAAGCATGCAAGAATACCGTAAGTACCCCTGTTTCTTTGGTAGCACCATAAAAAGCAATTCCCAATCACTTATAAACCTTCAATTAATAGCAATGATAAATGGAAAAAAAAAAATGTATTAAAAAGTCATCCATTTAGTCTAAATAATAATCATTCCTAATGTTCAAACAAGAAAATCCTTCTACTCTATGAAATAAATTAATTTTTTAACGATAATGACTGAAATTTAACATCAACAAAACTAATCATTCACCAATTTTGGGTTCCCATGCGACATATTACGATACAACAAAGTTTTTTCCCTTAATGAAACACAAATTCGGTCTCTGCTTGACCAAATGCTACTTCTATTAAAAGATTCCATGAAAACAAATATTTTTGCAACCACATCAAGACGAGTCAATCTAATTGATTTGTCTCTCTTCTTACACGTTACACTGAGAATGCATTACTTTTCCCAATGGGAATTTCTTTAGGTCTACTCAAGACATGCCCTATCCAACTAATTTGACCTTCCTTTACTTATATGGTGTCACCTCTACTTGTTAGGGTATATCCTCAATTCTTATTTTCTCCTTTCATGTATGGTTCTACATCCATTATGATATCCTCAATGTACCATATTTACAGTGAGCATTTTGTCCTCTAGTGATCCAACATGTGTTACAAAATATAGCTTGTGCATATCTTCCAATTATATAAAATCCACTTTTCCATTCATCTAAATGCAGTAATTTAAATAATCTAATGCATATACTCAGAGGCAAATGCGATTAAAAAAAAAAAGGCAAATGCCACAAAATTCAGTTTGTCTTTACCTTCCTCTAGTGCCAACTGGATTGCTCTTTTCTCCAACTCTACAGCGTGCTTACTAAGCTCAGCAGGGGACAAATTCAAAAGCTCTTGTGTAAATCACATAAAAAAAAAAAAAAAGCAGAAAAATCGAAATTGTCAAACAATTGAAGCTTAGACATAAATATATAAAACAAAGAAACTCATAGCAACACAAGAACTCACTTTGAATATACTCTTTCGGGTTAGTCTTTTCAAGATGTTCCAAAATCTTGTGCAGTTGAATGAACCGATCTGTTCTTAGTTGCTCATTGGTTCGCTTCAAATCAATTTTGTGAGGAAGATCTGACGAAACCTTAGGGTTATCAGATCCAGGAGCTTGTGAGACATTACTTCGCTTACCAAGAGAACTAGGAACCGATGGTCCACCACTTGAAAAAGTCATCATTGGAGCTATTTGATTTTTTGAAGCTACGGGAATAAGATGAATATGTTTCTCCTTCATATGAGTTTCCTTTTGTGGAATTTCCTGCAGCATTTGGCTCATATTCCTTAACTGAGGACTATCAGAATATTTTTCCATATCCTGAAGTCTTCCCCTCCCTAGCTCAAATTCAAATCTTCTACGGGCATTCATGACATTCTCGTTTGCACCATTACAAGCCATGTACAGATGACTAGAACTTGATGGGCGCTCTGGTGTCAATCGTTTTGTTCCACAGACCTTAATCGCATTACCACTTGGTCTTCCCCCTCCAAATGGTGAACTCTCTTGCTGCTTATTTATTGATCTCACATTTTCATTCTGCAACTCTCTCAATGCAGTCTTTTTTAGAGCAGCAGGCAGTTGCTTATCATTAGCAGCACTGGCAGTTTCACCAACAGCCATTCCATTACCATTGCTTTCCGTATTGATCATTTGCAAAGTCAACTCTAGTAAGCGAACTTGAACCGAACTAATATAGCCTATCCAAGAAAGATCTGAGCTCAATGAAAGGTTTGAGGTGATTACTATTATGGTATTACTTCAAAATAAAGACTACTTTCAAATACAAGTCAAAGTCTTGATAATAGGCAAGATGGGAAAAGGACCCAAAAAAAAAAAAAAAAAGGTTGATAAGATCCATGTGACATTTCAAAATTACAGCTCCCTCTTCATAAATAAACAGTTGGAAATTTAGTGAAGTTTAGCTGACAAATTATTTTGGAAGACCCCACTCTTGAGAGACAAATATGAAATATCACTAAAATAGCAAATACTAAATACTAAACAATGTCCGTAAATTGCAAAGTCGAGTGCCATAAATGATTAAATCCTCGAATTTAACTCCAAAAATTACAGAAAGAAAAAATAATAAAATATTAATCGTTTAATATTCTTATAATCAGATTAGAAGAAACAAAATTAACCGTTTAATATTATAATAAAAAAATAATAGCCGTTCAATATTCTCATAATCAGACTATAAAAAATCAACTCAGTTTTCTTTTTTTTTCTTTTTTTTTTTTTAAGGCCAAAGAAAAAGATGAACGTGCCAGAAATTAAATAAAAAATTTACAAAGCAAAACCTTATTAAACGCACTCGACATAAATCACTTTTAAAAAAAAAAAAAAATCTGAAAAACAAGACTTCCACGAATCCGCCTATTCATTCAAGAAATCCACAAGACTATCAATATAATTCCATAAACGTAATGAGAAATTAAAAAAATAATAACTCAAACATATATTTTAATTCCCGAGTTTGCTGAACTCTAATAAATTAAAAAACGGATCGAAAACTGAAAATTAAATAACAGTGATCGTAGACAACTGAGAGACTTACTATTTTGGAGGTTTTGGAAGATTGCAACAGATCAGAGTAGAGAGCGAGACGGCGACAGAGAGATGACGGCGCGAAAGAGATGGAGGTTTTGAAAAGGAGGGTAGTTTGGCTCCAAACCAAATAACCCAACTGGTAGAACTTTTAAATGACCTACACTTTTTAAAAATGGGCTCATCAAACAATTAAAATTTCACTATGATGAAGGATAAAAATATCCTTAACTACATTATACAATTACAAAAGATGATTTTATTTAAAAAATATTACTATCCTTTTAGTAAACAATTTCAAACTAAACACTACACACTTAAAACATCAAAATCAACTAATTTTTCTGATCTGTTTACTCCAATGTGCGTAAAAATACTTTCATATTTCATCTGCTTAAACTTTAAAAACAGAAAAATTCATCTAATGCGACAATCGAATTTTTTTTATATCAATCTCGTCCCATCCGTAAGTATAAATAGGCACATTTAATTTTATTTTCATTAAATTATTGTACGTTTTAAACGATAAATTTTATTCTGACATATAATGTTAAATCATATGCAGAACTCTATAATGATTCATAGAACAAGTTGAATGTTTATCCCTTTCAATATGACATGGAACTGAAATTTAAATTCAAGGAGCGTGCGGATATTTCGATTTCACCTATGACGATTTCTTTTAATGCTGAAGTGAATTATCTGTTTGAATTAAACAATAAGCACACGACTCCTCTTTGCTTGACTTTAGTGAGGAAGGATGTCGTCAAAGGTGAACAAGTAAAATCGGATGGAGGAGATCACAATGCTAATGATTTTTGGGATATGGTGGAGATAGCTCATGAAAATGATGTAGTTATTCCAAAGATAGTTGAGCACAACATTCTTTCTGTAGTTCACGACAGCGAATGTGAAAATGCAAATATTTTTACAAATGAGGATTTGATCGCTTTAACTCGGTAGAGACATGAGTGGGGTGGGACCTTAGTGGCTGGATCAAGTGAATCGTTTTCTAACTCCTCGCGTGTGGGTTTCCGATATTGATAATTTATATGTGGAGCAACTATTTGAAACGAAAAAAGATTTACAGAAAGTTGTACACCTAATTACATTGAAATACAACTTTGAGCTCAAAGTAAAAAAATCGAACAAGTCATTATTGACGATGATTCTGTAGGTGGTGTAGGCAGCGATGGTTCTGTTGTTGTAGGTGGTTCTTTTATCAGATTTATTGTTTAGCTAGATTTTTGGGATAGTTGTTGGTATTTTGCAAATGATGACGGTGATTTTTTGATCTATGAGTGTTTTGTTGTTGGTGGTGGTGTAGATGAAAATGTTTCCGTTGCTACATTTGGTTCTTGGTGGTGTTGGGAATGGTGGTGATAGTGACAAATCAATTGTCAAAAAGTATACGTTTATTGTGACTGGTTATGACCAATTATGTGTTAAATGTGGTTTTGACTTGGTTACATGTCATCCCAATTAAGATTGACTTAATCATAAATAATCATATCGTAGAAAATTTGATCACAGTTAGTCACTCTCAAAATAAATTTGATCATAATTAATCACAAATAACAAATGCTAGTGACTTGTTTACATATCGTCATAATTAGACGGTCATAGATAATTATACTAAAGATAAATTTGGTCACAGATATGATTATAACACAACAAATTTGGCCATAAATCTATGGCAAGGTGGGGTGGTTCTGTGTGGTAAGGTATAATCTCCAAAAAGGTTTCAAATTTTTAGATATTTTCATTTGGTGACGTAAGGTAAGGTGAGGGGAGGAAAGGATATGGGTGCGGGTATAATCTCCAAAAAAATTTCAATTTCTGGAATTTTTATACAAGTGAAGTAGGTATGGTGAGTGGGGATGAGGTAGCGTAGGTAGGGTTTAATGGGCGGGAGTCAATTGGTGTTGCCTAGCGCAGGATGCGCGGGGAAGATGCCAAACCAACCTTATATTAGCGATCAACAGTTGCCCGTCTAGGCACGTGTGTGTGTGTGTGTGTATATATATATATATATATATATATATATATTTATTTATTTATTTATTTATTAATTTTTTTAAGTTAAAACTTAAAAGTTGATTTTTTGACTTCATCTATCCTAAATTCAAAATAGTTGCTTGAAGTCTTAAACAAAGGAAAACTTCGAACAATTCTTATCTATTTATTTACAGTTGAAAGCTTATTCTTCTGTTGGGATTTTTGAAAAAAACGTATGAAGTTCCTATAAATCTATTTTAGATGTTTGACAGTATTATTTTTAATTATTAAATAATTTTTTGATTGATTAAAAATTAAAATAATATTAAAATAAGAAAACGCATTTTACGCCTATGGCCTAAGCTAGTCTAGTCCATAACTTGATCTCCACGCATTGCCACGATTACGCCTTTTAGAACACTGACATATGAATCCTTTTTTTTTCAATACGTGTCTTACTGTTTTTAATCCCTGTCACATAACGTGTTTGTGTAGCAAAACTCCTGTGGTTGCCAACGGCCCTAATAAACTTGCTCTTGCTAAGCTTTAGTTTGGACTTCCCCAAAAGGAAAAAGGGGCTTAATAATAAAATTTTGGTCTCTCAATTCCATCAATTTAGAGGGTGTTTAAGCCCATTTTTGTAGAGAAATAAATTTTAGAATAATAAATTAATGGAGAAAATGTGGATGAAAAATATGAATAATTAAATTTTTTATTTACGTGTAATATTATTTTAATAAAAAATATATATTGAAAAGAAAGAAAAATATATTTTGATAAAAATGAGAATCAAACAGGCATTAATCAATTGAGTCCTTCACACTTTGGAAAAAGACCATATGAGAGAGAAGGTAGGGGCAGGCTCCACCATTTTTTTAATTGTTGTGGGACCCGACCTCCTACAATGAGGGATCTTGTACAGTCCTTGTGCATCGAGCTCCTGTACATGGAGTTCGGTCCTCACACTTTCTACTTTTTCATTTTAATTCAGCCAATCCGGAACTTGAATTTTTCTCAAATCCTTAAGGGGCTTTATTTTATTTTGGGGTTTGGGTCCCATTTTCATGTGTGAATTCGTCCACAAAAATAAAGAAAAGTTGATGAATTTTTAAGTCAATTTGTAAATGAAAATTTAGAACTTGATTTTGATGCCCTTGTGTCTATTATCTTTCCTCAATCTGTAGATCACGAATATCCCCAGATCAACTTGTGATCCAAAAAATCTGGTCCTGTTTATTTAGACATTTTGAATTATGCTAATCAAGATTTATTAGATAATAAGTTGCATACATACATCGAGATCTTATTATTCTAAAAAAAGGTTGAACCCCAACCTTAAGGGTCCCCCACCGCCCCTGTCTTGGAGTATCGTGAGAGAGGTAAATCACAGGTAATGCCTCCAAGGGTATAGGGTGGAAGGCTGCTTGTACACTTGCACTTACCCAAGAGCCAAATCCATATTTCAGGATTCGAACCCTTGACGCGGCAGCTCAAGCAAAGTTGGATTTCTCCACCCTCCCTTTTTACCACTTGAAGATATGCCCTAGGGGCACGATCTCATTATTCTAATTTTGCTTTGAGGATGATGATATGATATTTCAATGATAAAAAGATAATAATGTTATCAAATGAGTTTTATGTACTGAGTTAGCTTAGCCCTTGACAAGTATAATAAAAATTTTGGAAATCCAAGTGTAATGGAGCTCGAAGATATGAATCAAATACAAGTATAATTGATAGTATTTTGAAGTTACTTTCCATGATGTATAGTTAGGTCGTACTTGAAATTTTCGAGGTTTGAGGCGAGTTTCAAAAGTTGGGCCTCCAAACTGTAGTGTGTATTCAAATCTTTTTAATTTATAAGAGTTTTATGGAAACTTAAAACTCAATAATCAAACAATAAAAAAAGTAATTTCTTTTATAATTAAATAATAAGACAAAAAACATTCCAATAATTACTTAAACACTATGAGTATTGCAATTTATATTATAAACAGACAACAAGAATAGTACTTTTATCATTTAGACAGTTTATTTTGTTTTATTTATTTATTTATTTTTTGTGACTTGTGGGCATCGCGTACTGCAATTGGCAGAGGGAGCTGCTTAAATAAAATAAAATAAAAAACAATTATTTTATTTTATTCAAAAGTAAAAAAATACAATTATACTCAAGTTAAGAGAAAAATCAAGGAACATTAGCACATAACGTACATGTCTTTCACTATTATTGTACAAAATGTCCATACCATTTTTATTTTTTATTTTTAACATTTTCATCCTTATTTACACTTTTGATTGCCTAAAACGTTACTCTGTCCATTTTCATCCAACTTCTTCGTCAATTGAATGCACGTAATATTTATTTTTTTTAAGTAGAAGGATGTTATCGTCTTAAAATATTTCCCCCCTTTCTTCATCAACTAAGATCACAGATGGAGTTACAGTGGAGTTCCAATTCTTAAAAATGATAAAAGTGAAGGTTAATCAATGAATTTTTAGTCAATGTACAGACTTTGGACATATTCCATTCAAAAGTCCTTGTGCGGCATATTTTTACATAAGATTAGTTGCCAGAGATAGAAGATTTAGAAACCCCACAGAACATTTTGAAAGGTTTACAAAATCATCAGCTTATTAATGCAAAACAAAGATTAGTTTCTCATTGTGACATTTTTATTTTTATTTTTCTTAGTTTGGTTTTGTAATTGCATCATTCCTGTGAGAAATTGAAAATGAAGGAAACATTCAGGTCTAAAGTGATTCTCCAAGTTAAATGGTAAACATTTAGATATGGGAGAAATTGAGATTCGAACCAATGACCTTCCATTAAAGAAATTTTACGGCAAAACTATGAGAACTTTTTACACATTATATAGTTTATCATATTTTTATTTTGTAAACAAAAAATTGAGAAATTAAGAAGTTTGGCCTTTAGAGTTTGGTGTTGAGATAAGATTAAAATTATGTGTACAGGGCACGGTTCACAGGTTGTTATCGGGGAAATTAGATCTTGGTGTTGTGACAACTAATTAACCAAAATTAGAATAGGAACGAGGGGAAAACTTTCATTTGTTCCAACATTCTTCCCACATAGCCACAAAACCCACAAAATAGTTGAAAAACTGTCCAATTAAAATTTGAGCAAT